AATAAAATTAATAATATTATTATATATTAAAGTAACATGTTATTATTGGTTTGTACTTTATATATAATAGTTTATAGATAGCTATAGTAGATATTAGTATATAAATAATAGCTGGATCTGGTTAATTTAAGTAGAGGCTAAGTAGTATAATACGTTATGCTTCCTCTGGTTATAATTACCGGCATATCTGGGGCACAAGCTATAGGCCGCAGGGTCTGCGACTTCAGTCTACAGAGGCATTATCCGACAGTAGTAGTCGATATTAATTATGCCGACAGATTCGCCAAGTCGGCTGCAGAGTAGCCGTACTTTGAAGTTTCAGGGGTTACCGAAGTTCGGTAATTTGTGGGTTCATCCCTAAAATGCCGATCTGTAGTAGTTTAACGTTCCATCTAGTAATGCGGTGAATATTTTTTGCGTAAAGGCCTGGGCTTTTTTGGGCTATTGTAGGCCCCACTACTAGTACTACCAGACTGCTCATGCACCACCCCACTTAATTGGACACTCAACACAAATAAGTGTCAATACTCTGTAATGTCCCACGAGTAAGGATTTGGGTGTGCTCTACCCTATATATATAGCAAGTCAACACTTACTATGGCATATCTAGGAGCTATTAAAGGTTTAGGCTATAGCCTAAGTTAAACATGGCATGGATCACAAAACTACCTTCTTTTTTTCTCATTACCAAAGGTTGTCTATAATAGTGCTATAAGCTAATTATATTAAGATGGTAATAGTCTAGCCCAACAAGACATCGTGAGTGTCAGCACAGACATCCAAGTGGTCGCCCAAGCCAATTGACGATTGAGCCAAAAGGGTCAGGTACGAATTGAACTAGCTGCCCCAAGCTAGCTCAATTGACACTATACGGCCACGTCCACAGGTATCTTCAACAACTAGGTCGGGCTCTAGCCCAGACCATAACAAAGGTTTATCTGAGGAGCAAGAACTCTATAAGAGCTACACCGCAATAAGAGTTGCATTTCCTGCGTAGCTATTTATGCACAAAAGAAACCCTTTAGTAGTTTCGGGTTGTGCCCCAGTTTTTCAGGAGGTACCGTTTAGGTAAGTGATATTATGCGAGGTGTTATAGCTCTTTTTGTCACATTAAAGCAGGCACAGCCTCGATAATGCTATCCTGCAGACTAGCCGTGTACGTGTATATCTTATTTATCTTCAACCCGGCTTTGCTGAGAAGGGAAAACCATTGCTCGTGTGTGCGCTCCTGGGACGCTAGGGTGCTCATCATCACAAGGTCGATCTGGGTAGCCTGCCAGGGGACGCCACAATCAGGCAGTACCATATCGTCAATCAGAATAACCGAGTCGGGGGCCATAGCAGTAATAGTATTCTTAAGGATAACTATAGCCTTATCGTCGGGGTAGTCGTGAATAATATTACGCATGTAGTAGATCCGGGCGTTGGTAATAGTCTGCGGCTCGAATAAGTCTTGTGCCACAATCTCAATGCCTGGGTGCTTAATAGCATGCTCTAGCGTTGCGGGAATATCTTGTAGGATAATCTTATTTGGTAACTCGGGCAGTTTCTCTCGAAGAGCAACAGCCTGATGTCCAATTCCGCCTCCAACGTCGATAAAGAATGGCTGTTCTGTTTTAAGCCCCTTGGTCTTCTCCTTGTATGGGTAAGCGTCTAGCCAGGTAGGCATGCCTAGGCGGCCACCAGCCATAAATTGGTTGAAGTGCGTGAAGTTTTCCGGCTTGGATTGGACCCAGATAAAAGCAGGAAGTTCGGTGTTCCATGCCTTCTGGAGAGGCGTGTCAACAGCACTAGTAATATCCTGGTATTTATTTTCTTTGAGAAAATCAGGAAGAGCCTGGATAGCAGGGCCAACATTATCGTGACTATATACTATAATTAGATTGCAAGAAGGCAATATGTAGTTAAAACAGGTACGCAGTACTAACTAATGGTAAATACCACCCCGGAAGCCAGGATAAGTGAATGTCTTTGTGATTTTATTGTTGGTGAAGGTATTCTTCCCGATCTCCTTAATTACTCCATGAGATGATAGGTACCGCAGGACACGCCCTAAAGCCTCAAATTAGTAGCCGCTCCAGATAGGTCTTGACGTAACGTACCCAGAAGCGTCGGTGCCGCGCCAGTCTTTTGCGATAAGACATCGACGGACAGAGGTGTTGGGCTTTCAGCGAGAATGTCAAAGAGCCTCAGATCGCAACCGATTCGAACTAATGCAATCTGGATTTGCTAGCGGAGTATTAGCAGGGCAAATTTGGCGGATTAGAAAAATTCGTACTAGGTACATAATTCTCTGCGCGGAATCCTGAGGGGATTCCAGCGCTTGGGATAGCTTGCGGAGAGCACCCAGAACTTTTCTCTGACCAGCGTTAATAGTGGCCTCAAGAAAAATTTTAGCTTTAGTTAGTAAAGTATACATATTATTAGTATTGAGGGAGATAAGATGATTGAAGTCAGAACTACTCAAAGAATAAGTAAGAAAAGAATAAACTAGACAGAAATAAATATAATATTTGGCTTATAAGTAACTTTACCGCGTTTTACCAAAGTAGTATAATTGTAATAAGAAACTTGTATGATATAAACTTGATACTTGAAGTTATTAGTGATACTTATTATGTTGCAACAAGGTTTGATC